CCACTCCTTAGAGGATTAACAGTTGGCAGCCCATCAGACTGTGCAGCTCCCCGTGCTGTGCCCGGCTTCTGACTCGGGGTCTTCTCCATGTCCCCTCCTGCACGGGCACAGCCTTCTCCTGCTTCCCAAAGCACACTCTGCACTGCAGCAGCACAGCACCAGCACCAGCACCAACACGTCCTCCATGCTGAAGCAAAGGTTCTCTGCACCTTGTCTTCCTCTCCTGCACGTCTGGTCATGGGAGCTCTCCCTACCTCATCTTCTCCCTTCCCCAACAGTGGACTGGAAACACCCTGAGGTCAAGGGCATCAGCTTTTTGTTCATCTTGGGACTGAATCGCAAGGTCAGTGCTGGTCATACTATAGAGGAACAAGGAAAAATGTCAAATTCGCGCACCTGTGGCACCAGACCTCTTTTTGGTCTGGAGCATGCTGGGATGTCACCCAGTAGCTCCTGTCCCAGTTTCTGCTTCCTGCTGGCCAGCTGAGGGCCCCTCGGATGTCCTCTGGCTGCTCGGCACCTCTGGGGCTGCACTGACTAGGGAAGCACCGGAAGCTGCTGCAGTGAATATCAAACTTTTAGAAAGAATTATTTAGCAGGAGAAACTTCCCCAAAAGATATATGTGAAACACACCTGATATTCAAGGCAGAGAAAAAGCTGAGTGCCAGGCAGGACATGGTGCTCCGTGCCTATAGACCCAGCACTCGGGAGGCTCCGGCGGTAGGACTGCCTTGACTTTGTGGCCAACCTGGGCCTCGTGGTGAGACCCTGTGCTCAGTCTCTGACCAGGCTGCTTATCCTCCACTGTCCCTACGGTGACGTCTGATGTCTGCCAGTCTGGTGAGCCAGAGCCCTCTTCCCACTGGTGACCCTCCCGGGAGCTCTCTATCCACTCTCCAACCCACTTCCTGGATTCAGCCAGACCTCCTCAGGCTGCACTGTATTCGACACTGAGTCCCGTTTTCCCCCCACCCGAGGAGTTCCTGTTGCTTGGCCACAGTTGCATAGTCTTCCACACCGAGCTTCAGTGCATCTCACCAAATGGCTTTCTTTTCACTAGTGTAGGGCTTGAACCCGGGATCTACACACCACCATACATCCCCAGCCCTCTCCCCGCCCATCCATCTTCTCATTTTCTTTCAGTTTTTGAGACAGGACTTTGTTAAGTCACTAAATCACCTAGGATGGATTCAAACTTGTGATCCTCTTGCCTCAGCCTTGCAGAGGGCTGGGGTTACAGGCATGCTCAGTGCACCTAGCAGGAAAGGAAGTATTTTCTGTTATTGTTGTCTTAGATGAGTAAACAGACCAAACTACGATATTCCACCTCCAGGCCTCAACAAGAAGCCTCCAGGGGAGCTGGAGAAAAGCCAATCGTCGGTGTCCTGGGTCATTTCTAAGCATGGCAGGCAGCCCTGAGGATGTGCACTTGCCTGCAGAGCAGGCACCTGGCTGAGGCCACCATAATTGTAATTCTCACAACTGGCCAGCACATGCGCACCATCGCATACCCACATGCTACAAGATGCAAGGTAGCTGCATGGGATTAGACAGAAATGGTCCAGGTCCCCCAGCTGCAGTGGGAACACCTGGGCTTGAGCCAGACATGAAGGACCCTGGCTTTGATTCACATAAGTTTTTACATTGTTCTTTCCCTCAGTGCGTGTTTGCTGCACGTAATGATGGCACTCCCCGTGGGGAGTTGGCGCACAAACAATGTACCTCAGTCCTTCCGATGTCCCCTCCCCATCCCTCTTTTCCCTCCATCTCTCAGTCCCAGCCCTCTTTGAGAAAATGTCTCCTTCGTCCTGGTGTCCCTCTTCTATTTCACTCCTGGTTTTCACTCTTGTGGTAGAGGAGCTCAGCTGGGGCCTGGGTCTTCACACATAAGCAGCACTGAGCAGGCAGAAGGATGCAGCCCGGACACAGGAGGCCACCAGGGATGCTGTCCCCCGGGGGCTGGCCGAATTTCCTGCCCTTCCTCTTTCCGAGGTCTGCCCACTCGGCACTTCCTGTGCCTGGAAGCTCTTTGTGGAGAACCGAGTGGATCAGGCAGAGAAGCAGGCCTCAGGCAGCCCCCAGACTAGAAAACGGCCCCCAGCCCAGAAAACGGCCAGGGAAGCAGGGATCATTGCGACTGCTGCTTTTCTCTTCAAAAAGTGCCCAGCCTGGGATGCTACTCTTGAACTATTTAAGCTGTTTGTAAACTCCAAAATTATGTTATATTAACTAATTATAAGAAGTTGATATTAAGTAATTGTAGTAAAGCTAACATGCTTTGTGTCCATTAAATCTGTGAGATACTTTGACAAATATTCCTTTGAAATGTTGCAAGCATAGAGGAAAGGATACTCTCAAGGTGTTGGGCTGAGTGTGTGCATGCTATGTGATGCAGGAGGCCTGTCCTGGACATTTCTCACTTCAGAGTATTTTGCAGATTCATTTTTAAATAAGTAGGCATGAGACCACCGGAATATTTTCCTACCTACAGAAATGGTTGTAGTACCAGTGCCTGGAGACACCTGCCACAGCACCCTCCCACTTGAATGCGTACCACAGCTCCGTGCTCTGAGACACTCCGGGCACCCGCTGTCTGTGTCTTGTGTTAACATGTTGAGACTCAGCCAGAGAAACAATGGACTGACTTAGGAGCTCATACACATGAGTAATTTTGTGAAATATTCCCTACTATCAGCAAAGCAGTCATAAGCTTAATTTTAAAAGGTGTAATTTTCACTACAGAAACATTTCACTGACAAATGATATTTAAATTTTTAATGATATGTGCAGTTAATAATGTAGCATATGATATAAATAGATAACAAGTATAAATATCGAAGGCAAATAAGAATACAAATGACACACACTTGCTGTTATTAAAATTGACTCTAGGCACCTGTGAGCTCACAGGGACATCGATAAGGAGCTTCCTGGGGTTGTATTCCTGTCATATTAGGGAGCTGTCTGCCTTTCAGGGTGTCCTCAGTGCCTGTCCAGTTAAGCGCTGCTCATTGCCAGCTATGTAAGGGGCTTAAACTTATCTGTTTCATTTGAAACATTGTTCAATTTTTAAACTTGCTCTGTTCAGCTGAGAGCTTATGACATTTCTCTTAATCTCACAGCTGCTGTAATCCTAAGAGTAATGTTGAGGTTCATTGTCAAGGTCTGGCTCCATCACGGTGAATGCAGAGGGCAAGTACAGGCCTTCTCTGCCTCTCCATGTCCGCAGGAAACAGAAGAACACTGCACACCCCTGAGCCTGGCAGCTGCCCGTGGGACAGGGACACAGGAAAGAACAGAGCTGCCTGTGTTATGGGAAGGGAGTAAAATGAGTTGCCATACGGGCTGGCCCTGGCAGA